ACAGTGACTAACCAGAAACTTGTTCATAGAGCCGTCTGCTATTAGATATTTGTAATTAAGCTATAAAGCAATATACAATTACAAAGTACTGTGTATTTACTCAGGAAAGTCTGGTAAAAGGAGAGACACGTAATAAGTTATTTTTTTTCTATTAGCTAATGTTCCCCGAGGATCCAGTTGTACAATTTTCTTTCATGTAAGGACAGTCTGTCATTTTTTAGGGTAAACAGAAGGTATAAATAAATATTTATTTTTCACTTTATCAAACATGTCTTGGCAGATGATTGGCTGATTTTGGTACCCAGTTCTAACTCACTACCTTGTGCTTGCCAGGCAGGCACTGTGCCACTGAGCTATATCCACAGCACTAGATGATTTACATTTAAAAGTAAAATACTCATTTTGTATATTCTGTATATTTACAATCCATCAGATATTTTGTAGCCAGTTCAATGTACTTTTCTAAGGCATTAGTATTACAATAGTTTAACTAGGTTTATTTCTTCTTTTATTCTTAGTGTATGAGCAGAGGAACAACACCCATCTCAAGCATGTAAGTAAATAGTTGATAAGAAATTGAGTATATCTATTTGTATCTGCCATGATTTCTAAACAAATATAATGAGGAGCCAGTCTGTTACCATAGACTTCCTTTTTTGCATTTTTAATGTATCTTGTATTTTCCTGAGATGTTTTAAGTTTGCTCCACAAAGTCTTTGAGTTAGTAATTTCCATTTTTAAGGGTTTCTGATATTTAAGTTCCATTGTGGTAATATGGGCACAGTGTTAAAGGTTTGTATGAAATATTTGGCTTTAATTTTTTAATCTTTTTAAAAATCAAAGTAAACAATTTAACACATCAGTCTTTAGCATTGTCCGTTGTTTTTCCATCATAACAGGTGAATGTTTAGCTTCCTCCTTCCGCAATGACTTTATTCTCCCCAATTTCCTTCAGATGCATCATACAGTTTTATTTTTGTTTTTTATATTTATTTAGATCATATATTTTAAACTAAATAACTAATTATCATTTATGACTACTGTTTACTGCTGGGTTATGTAATAACAGTCACACTGTTCTGCCTCTTTGTACAATTTAATTCTTTGTCTAAAGTATTTCTGAAATGTACACAGCTCTGCACTGCTGCTGGATGATCCCTAAGGAGCATTAGTTCACAAAAGCAAGTCAGATAAGTAACCCAGGGCTCTTTCTGTTTTCACGTTCTTCCTCTTTGAGGGAGGTCAATTTTCCATTCTTAATGGGACAGTTCTCTTAACAACAATCCCACAATGCTGTAACATTAGTCACATGCCTGCCAGGACATTGTTCACATTCGAACACAGCCTTGCTTCCGTTTTCTCCCAGAGGCCGCCCTCACAGGCTTTCCTACCTTAGAGGGACAGGCTTGTCCTTAGGCCTGCTGCTTCACTTTCCCTGGAATAGCTCCTTGAAGTCTGTCTTCCACAGGGCTCTGTTGCGAGTGTCCTCACTGTCCTAGATTCTTTTGTTTCCTCTGTCTTGTGCTCCCCTGTCCTACTGGAAAACTTTCTCCTGTGAAAGGGCAAATAGATAATTTTAAGAAGCCAGCCTGTAAAGGAAAATATAGTTTTTAATAAAACATAGATTTGCAGGTTGATGCCAGTTTTCACAAAGCTCCTCTCATTTCTAGTGTTGCTCTTAACTCTGTTGTCCCCATATTATATATCTCATAAATAACCAGCTATAGCCACGCCCCCTTCTCTGGAAGCTTTTAAAGGCTTCTCTATCTTAGGGATGCTGAAAGAACAGATGGGTTTGTTATTGACTTTTTCATCTCCTTGGGGTGGTCTTTAAAGTCTGAAAACTCCCTCTTCTTTTAAAGTCCTTGATATTTCCTCTAGTTTTTCTTATAGTTTCTTTATTCAAATATTGTGTTTTTCACACTTGTACTTCTTCACTAATGTCAAATTTCCGTCCTCTTTACATTTTCTACTTTTTCCTTGGGCTCTGATTAAATATTAGTTATTCCTTGAATTGAACTTTTTCAACCTGGTATTGAAATACTTTTAAACTTCTAATTTGCTCCTGAATTTCTAGCACTCCCACAAATTCCTTTGTTCCTGTTACAATGATCTCTCTTGTCAGAGGATTCACTGAAATACATGGGTGACCCTGGCATTCCCTGGACTGAAATACTGTATGTGAGCAAAACTTTCATTTAACTAGTGGGCACCACTGTGAGACTTTGGCAGTGAAATCAGTTTTACCTTTGCAGGGCTTTGGGCAACACCTGGGGGCCAAATCTCTTGGACAGCCTGATATCAGAGAAAAAGCTCCTCACACTCTGCAGGATGAATACATTCAAGGCTGCCTGCATTCCAGAAACTGTTCATCACACAGTGTTTCCTCCACTATGCTCTAGCTCTCAGCATTGATGTACTTGATATCTCTCAGGTTTAATGTCTGTGGAATGTAATATCTGCATAGCACCTGCAGAGATGGAGGACAGGTGTACACTGGCTCTACATTCATTTCCTATGGTTTCTCATGGCCTCTGCTTCACACTTTATGCCAAGGTGCTCTGTGCCTCTGAGTGTGCTAATATTTTGCCATGTGAGTTAACAGTACTTTAACTTACAGTTTCCACACATCAAAAATTATGTCCTTTCTGGATCCAGGTCTCATGTGTAACATTTATTTTATCCTTTAATTCAAATAATATTTCTGGAGCAAGTTGAACTAGCTGCATGTTCAATCAATCCACCATTTTTAACTTAGTTAAAACTTGCAGTTCAAGTGTAAGTGTGTCTTAGTTACCTATTTATTGCTGGGACAAAATACTCAACACCCACAAGTTAAAGGAGGTAAGGTGTCTTTTAGCTCACATTTTGTAGAAGTTTGAGTCCACAGTCATCTGGCTCCAAATCAAGAAGTCATGGCAGAGGAACCTGAGACCGGATATACACTGCATGGAATGGCAGGTAAGAAGCAGCAAGACTTCCTCCTCCTTTCACTTTTTATTTGATTCAGGCTATAAGCCTCTTGTTGGTGCCACCCAAACCCAGGTGCATCTTCTCTCTCCACTAAGCCCATCATTCACACCCAGAACTATGCTAATTATCCACACAGAACTATGCTAAACCATTCAGTGAACTAATTCAATATCACACACCCATGATTCAGTGACCTCATCAGAAGTCTCTAGACTATAAGCACTAGAGGGTTTGAAGAAACGTCTAGTGTAAGCAATAACCAAATGTATTTAAATTAAATACATATAATGGTATTAACTTGGACCCTTAAAGCTATGTATCTCCAATAGACTAAGGATTCCTTTAACTTGTAGATGTCAGGTGATTTCTCCCAGTGAAGAGAAAATAACTAAGAGTTTGGTGCTGGTAGGTGGGGTTATTGCTGTGCTGCTGCTACCTGACCATATGGTTCTGAAGCCTTTATAAGTGGCATGTAAGTTCATTTGGAAAGGCCTAGAGATACCGGCTGTGTATTTTTTATTAAAACTGAAAAAAGTGGGAAAAAAAAGTTTCAAAACTGGCTAGTGGGAGAGTAATAGGAAATGTAAAGTGTGTGTGTGTGTGTGTGTGTGTTACATTTGCAGAAAATTAGTTTGCACTTTGCTCATATTCAAAGGCTTTGTGAAAGGCCGAAATTAAATTAATCTGGTTGAAGAAATTTCAAGGCAGTTCAATGTTAAGGTAGTGGCATGGTTACTGTTGAGGGCTTTCATCCAGATCTCTGTTGAGAGCAAATGGCCCAAAAGAATATTTAAAATGTTTTGAGTTTGTCCAGAAAGAAAGAGCCACTTAAGCCATGTCTTGCAAAGATGGAAAGACAATTTGCTTGCTGAAAGATTACCACTAAAAAGCCAAACATTGTGGAGGAGTATAATAGAAAAGATGGTCTGAAGGTTTCACAAGAACCAGCAACACTCCACTGCCAATGCAAGTGCCCTCTAGAAAGATTCTAAGGTCACAGGGATTCCAACCCACAGTTCCTTGATCAGTGACTATTTCCACTCTGTGTCTTCCGTTATCACTGTAATGGTAGTGCCACAACATTCTGCTTTAGTGTTCATTTGCTAAAACTGTCACTGATTGTTAGTGTGGTGACAGATCCCCTCATTATCTCATTGCTCAGCGGTGAGATTATTTTGAGAGGATAATTCAGTATCTGGATATCTAAGACATTTAGGGTTACTTGGACCACTGTGTAAGATTGTTTGCATGTCTTCTGTCTCTCTGGTTGCACACTGTTATGTGGTTCTGGCTGACTTGTGCACACAAAATACACACAGAAACAAACATGTGCCATGACATCTCATCTGGATAGGCTTTTTAAAACTAAAAATAGAGGAAAGTTCTTGAAATACTTACGAGGAAGGTTGGTGGAGCATCTGGATGTAGCTCTAATGGTTGAGATTTGTCAGGGGAAACCTACATAATTCAACATATTGATATATTTTAGTGTGGCAGCACAGGAAGAAAAATGGGACAGTCTGAGCTGTACGAAGTGAACTAAAGTGGAAGAAAAATGATGCATGAATATACTTTGTAAATGTCACATTAATTTTTAAAATAGGATTTATGTTTATTATTGACGTTTTTCATGGGAATACCTCATTGATTCCAGACATCCGCATTTTTATTTTTTGACAAAAGAGGTATCCCTTTGGTCCTTTTTTCGCAGATGTTCAGCAGGCTCTGTAATTACCAAAAAGATCAGCTTTGGTAGTATAATTATTTTTGTTTTCCTAACTTTGTTGTTAAGTGTGAATGCATGAATCTGTTTGAACCTTTATGGTAATGGACTACTCCTACTCACAGCAAAGAATAATTGTTTTCCATTTCATGAGTGAAGTTGTTTTCAAGGTTAAGTGATTGACATTACTGCATATTACATAAGTGTATGTCAAAAAATAATGTCTGTTACAGTATATATTGTGTGTACTATAGGTATACATAAGCCAGAATGATAGACATTTAGTGTGTTAAAATTTTTTTCTTTTAAATTTTAATGATTAAGCATCACTTAGAAATGTTTATGAATATTTTTGCTATTCTAGTTATCTTTAGAAATGGGAAAATGGGGCATGGACAGTTTCATTCTTAAATTCTTGATCTGAATTCACCTGTGGACCAATTGTACTCACCCAGAAGTGCTGTGTGTTGTTGATATCACCAGACAGGTTGTCTAAACATCTCAGAATGTTCATATAGTTATACAAAATGGGTCATGCCTTTAAGGTCTTTCCCATGCTGAGAAAAAAATTAAATAAGCTCAATCTCTTACACTGTCACTGGAACACATTTTGAGAAATGTTTTATGATGCAGCTGTTGGCAGATGTATTCCAGAATGTAGATGGGGTCAAATCTGTAGGATATGAACACGGAAAAATGCTTCTCAGGCAGCGAACAGCATGAATGAGGTGGAAATGTGTCCTGATAAGTGTCAGATAGCTTTAGAGAATTAGATGTAATCTTGAGTGTTGAGGCTTTCCACAAAGTGATGTAATGGAAATCCACCCAGAAAATAACTGAATGTTCAGTTCTCAAATTTGTTCTTGTCCTCTATTTTAGATGTGAGGGAATCTTCACATAGATCTTGTGTAATCTTGGTAAGGGTACAGGTCCAGGTGAACTATGGCCCTGGCTTATTAGTGACTGAGCATGCCTGGCACAGTCCTTTGACTGTGAAATATTTGTCTCATCACATTAACACACTTAGTGTCACTTAATCAATTAAGAGTTAAGCTTTTGTTTGTTGTACTATACTGTTAATACTGTGCCAATATTATGCAAGCCATTACATTTTATTCTAGTTACTAACAGTACAAATAGAAAATCTTAGCTGTTTTTCTTGCTAAAAGTCCAAAATCTTATTTTAAACTTTTTATACTATTTTTAAAATGATGTATACTAAATGCTTGTCAGATTTGAAAATAGGCAGAATAATAAGGGCTATATTTTACAACCTACTCCTCCAACACCCCTGAAAATAAACAGCCTCCCACAGTAACTTTTTGCAGACCCATATGCATGACACTGCTCTCAGACCTTTCATGCAGTGTAAGAAATACCTTCATGGTTTGTCACTTGACATTTTAACCAAGGAAACAGCCCCAACATTTGGGAGTCTAACTTACTGTGACAATTTCTTCTACTGTCAGCTTACGAGGAAGTACAGCTCCTGCTCCTCAATATGGATGGATGAGAGCACTCTCAGCAAGCCTAATCATAGAAACATAGTACAATGGTGAGTACAGGGATGCTGCAGATGCCTGAGTGACAGGTCCCCTACTGTTAAAACATTCCAGCCATGTTGGGTAAATTCAGCCATATGATTATTCTCTTCCTTGCCCACTTTCAAATATTGCAGCAAAACATCCCTATTGATTTTAAAGGCCTAACGGTGAATTTCCCATTTTTATTTTAATCTACTCATGGTAGAAGGGAACATGAGTTAGCAACTAAAAAATCCCATGAACAGTGTGCCTCTTCAGAGTACACATGTTTGATGCAAGACACTGTTAAATGTAAAGAGAAAAATGGTGTCTGAAAATGTAAAGAAATTTTTAACAATTTAGAAATGACTCTTGGAAAAAAGAATCACTTTTCCTCTGTTGACACCCCAGTTACCAGCATTTGAATGTTTGCCATAACACATGTGCAGTGTCACCTCATGTGCTGTGTGAGCACCACTGCACTGGGGTGAGTGGCTCACCTGGATTATAAACTCAATACCATAACAAATGACAGATACAAAGTTTTGAAAGTATGTTTCAATAGAAAGGGAGAAAATAGCCACCCTAACAAGAGTTAGGGCAGGGAGCCCCCAAAATATGGAAGATCCATAGGCCTTTGTTCCTGGATACTTTTATTGTGTACTAAGGACACTTTGCCGTGCCTAGAACTTACCATAGCCCTCTTGGTTCCCAGGGATTTATTTGTATTGGACCAGGTCCACTTGCCTATGTCATTGCTTTGGAGGGCTTTCTGTAACTTCTATTTGTCCTTGAGAGGGCCTTTTCTCCAAGGTGGACAGCTGGTTGACTAAGAGTTGCCTTATTCATTGTTACATTTGAGTTAGTAATGAGATGTGTGTGTGTCTATTGTAGTGATATAGTGCTCCTAGAGTGGACAATATGCTGACCCTAGAGTGAACACAAATGTGTAAGTGTGTGTGGTAGTGCATAGGTGTGAACACACAAGTTTTCCCCCAGAGTTAGTCACTCCTTCCCAGTCTGCTTCCCTGAATTCTATTGGAAGTACAAAAGGAAGGTTACCTTGGTTTTGTGCACAAGACTTTCTTTGTACTCTGTCAGCTCTGTCTCTGGTTTTGGGTGCAAGCCGCTAAGCCATTTCGTGCCTTTATGTTTTGTTGTTTTGTTTTTTCACTACCTTTTTCCTTCACATTATTGCCAAGCGAAATTTTTCCAGGAGAGTTTTAATTCCTTCTATTTAGGATTAGCCAGAAAACCTAAGGAGTCCCCTATTTTATTCTTTCCCTACCTACAGTACCCTTTCCCATACCTATGGGGTCATAATCAGAGATGCACGAGGAAAACATCCTGATAGGAATCTTTCAAGCTTATTAAAATACCAACATCAAAATTCAGGTACACAACTTCCATTCTGAATTGAGGTTGTTCATAGAACATTGCTAATGTCCCTTTGGTTTTCAGGTTTGGTTTTTAGAGTGCATTGGCCCATTAGGCATCTAGAAAAGGCTTTGAGATGATTATCACACGGTAGTAGTGCATTCTTCTTTCTTTTTTTGGTTTTGTACTGGGAATCGAACTCAGGGTGTTATGCTTGCCAGGCAGTCATTGTGCCACTTAGCTCTACCCTAATTGTTCTTAATAAAATGTATAAACTTTGTTAGAATCACTGATGCAACTTTATCAAATTATATGTCTGGAAACACATGCATTTTTCCCACTTTCATCTTCCCTTTGATTCGTGGGTACTCACAGCACTTTAGGAAACCAACGATGAAGTTTACATGTAGTAATTTACATAATGCATGCCCAATGATTGTGACATTTAACTGTTAAGGCATTCACAAACATTGTTGCTAGTGGAATCACCTGGGGGAACTTCTCAAACACTCTTTGTACCAAATTGTTCCCTGTGCCACTTAATCTTAATGTCTCAAGTTGGAATTAGGGATCATTGTAAATCTCCTTGGGTGATTCCAGTGTGCAAGAAAGTTTGGGAAGTACTAACCCAGAGAATACTATATAGGAAAAGAATTGCTTCTGACTATTTGGTGGGATTTTGGACAAGCTTTGGTTCCCTTATCTGTAACAGTTGGTTGTTAGATGAAATTTTTAATAAGTTTTGGTGAACCTTTACAATGTATGATGGTCAGTCTGTGATTAAACTCAATTTGGAGATAAACTGTTTGAAATACCATAAAAATGTGCATCCCTGATGCATATGATGTGAGAATTTAAATTTTAAACACATTCTGGACTTCTTTTAAAATTCAGCTTTGTCTTCCCTTGATGATGTTAAGCTTCCTTTTAAACAATGAGAGCAAATCAAAGCATATAATTCACTCAAGGGAATCCCTTTGTACCCTAATAAACAGCAACTATGCATAATTTAGTGATACAGCAATGTACTATCTGAAGGGTTGTGTCTGCCTATTAATACTTTATTTAAACGAATTTGGAAATATTTCCCATGAATATTGTACTGTACAGATGTAGGCTGCATTACTATCACTGATTTTTCAGCATAAAAGAAGTATTATCAGTTTGGTGGCCACTTGTATTTACTACATAATTTTTTCTTGTACTGGAGGAATGATTTTCATTTTGCTATACAGCACTTTCATAATTTACTTTCAGAGAAATAATGAAAATTATGGGCAGGTGAATAATGAATAAGTCAACTGAAATAAATGCACGGGCCTCAAAGTTTTTTAAAAAATTATGTGGTTTAGTTTTAAGTATATGGGCAGATATGTAGAATTTGTCCAGGGAAAGAGGTTATATGGGTAGAAAAACAAATGAAAGAGAAAAATGTAATAATGTATAGTTAAAAAAGATGTTCTGATGTCATACTTCATAACATTTGGCATCTGTCCACTATAAGCAAGTTAAATGAAACAGGGGCAAGTGCCCTTATGATACTGTTCTGAAACTGGAAGACAAGTCTATGGGAAGTTTCCCCTTGAAAATTTGCCTTAAATTTACCAATAAACTTGGTTATTACATATATTTTTTTCTTCCCACAGTATGACGTTGGCAGTGTATTACCACATAAAATACAGGTGAGCTCTTAAAATCTTGCCTTATACTTCAACTTAATTTACAGAATACCTACATATTATCAGGCCCTGGCTGCAAACATCAGAGGTTGTACTGTGCTTTTACTAATAGTTGGAAGCAAGTCATTTCAGGTTTCTTGTTATTGTAATTAGGTCTGTTGAAAAATATTCTGTTAAAGTCACAAAGGATATTTGCTTCCATAGATTATATTGATGTGTTCTGTTTAGAAATTAAAACTGAGAGTTGAATGCATATGTGTTTGTGTGTGCCTGTGTGTGTGCAGGCGGGAGGTGTTAACAGCATTTCTTGATCGTGGATCTACTGACATTTTAAGCCAGGTACTGTTTGTTGTGGGGGCTGTCCTATGCAGTGTAGGATGTGTTACAGGACTGCTGTCCTCTGCATAGTAGATGCCAGTCGCTTTCTCCCTCATCTTGTGATAACAAACAATGTCTACTGTTGGACAAGATCACTACCATTAAAAACCACATTGTTAACACACATAACAAAAATGACTATCTTTTATAACTCTTTTACATTTCTGTTCCCTTTCTACATTGGGTGAAAAATGTATCTCTATTTACACTGATGTACAAGTCCCCATTTGACTGAATAGAACACAATTAAATTCACTTTTTTCTTGATTCTTCGGCAGTTCCTTTGGAATAAACAATAACAATAATAACCAATCACGTAGTTGTATATATTTGGACATAAATGTGTTTTTCAAATATGGATCATTATGGATAGTCTTTTACTTTACATCACACACTGCAACCATTAGTTTCTTAAGTTAGGTATAATGGAATTTTACATTGTGTCTCTGAAATTGCTACAAAATAACACTTCTTGGTGTGTCTTTCACAGTGAGCAATTCTTTAACAGTACATGATTCATAATATACATCAGTGAGCTTTGAAATTACCAATTCAGAGGTTTTTACAACATCTGAATACCAGATGTTTTTACAACATCCAGAACATTTTTGTTATTATCATCACCAGTCTTAGCAAAAAGTCTTCCAGATACTGAGGGCCTCTCATAGGCAGATTTGAAGGTATACATTTTCCATAAATCTCAAAGTTTTAGATTCACTGCTTGAATTTGACATTGGCAACAACTATTTCTTCACTTTCCTTGAAGGCCCACTATGTTCTCTATTGATATATCTAGTTTCATGTAAAAATAAATTCTATGATAAAAAAGACTGTTAAACTCACAACTAAATCAGAAGTGAAGTTCTGAGAACATACTTCAGTATGCAGAAATGCTTTATGTGAACTTTTCATTTATTCATAATACCGAAAATATGATCCAAGATTTACCAACATTATTCTTTGCTGTTTCATCTTGGGCAAGTATAAAAGGTTTTTAAACAAAACTGCAGGGAAAATGAAAAATACAATGACCTCTGATGTAACTTGGTGCCACAGGCTTGGTTCACATTACAAAATTCCAAGTTTTGCTTTTGCCTTTATACAAGCATAACAAGTGACCAACAGTCAAAAAATAAGTAATTACTTCATGATTGTAAGAGCAGTTTGAGCTCTTGAGCCTCCTGAAAATGAGACTGAGGAATCTCCAGAGGTCCAGAGACCACAGCAAACCATTGCTTTATAGGAACACAGTATAATACGTTAATGAAAATACTGGTCTCTTATACAAAAGCTGCTACATTTTTTAACACAACAGAAACACAAATGCATGATGAAAATATAGAGGACTGAAGAAAAGAAAACTTTGGAGATCTAAATCTCATTCACATTTACTACACTTCTAGGTTTGAATACCTAGCACTGCTGGTTTACTAGCATTGCCTGTAAGGAAGTGTCATTACTTATAGGCAACTTAGCCTGGTTATCTTAGAAAAGACTTCACAGTACTTGAACACAGCACTAAACAAAGCGATGTCTTAAGGTCAAAATCAAGGAGAAGAACTTGTAAAGCTGTTTGATATGTTGAAGGTTAGGCCTCTTTCTCCATGGTCCCCTATCCTTACCAGTTACTTAATTAAGATATAAATGACTTAGATGAATTTTTCCTTGCAGAGATGCAAATAGATCCCTGGATATTTTTGATGAGAGACTGCATCCACTCACAGTAAGTGTCACTATTACAAGAACATCATTTTTTACCTAATTGTTTCTTTGATGCTTTTTCTTTTGATATTAAGTGCAGAAATAAATCACACACTTCTATTTGAATTTAAATCATGTGCTTTCCAACCTCATGTTGTATGACATCTTCTATGAAAAGAACTGTTCTTTAGGGTTACAAAACGGGCAAAAGTGGCTTAAAGCTCTATTACTGAACTAAAGTGAATAAATGTACTACTCCAACATCAGAAAATGTAGGTTTTCAAACACAGTTTTCAGTACAATCTGATATAAACTTTAATGAATAGGTGAAATTTTTGAGGAAACAGGTACTTAAAACTCAATTAAAAAAATAATGGGATATATTATAGAAAAATTTTTGTTTTCCTATTAATCTCTCTTGAGTACCTGTATTGCTCTCCCATCCTGGTCTGATTTATTTCACTCCATTCTGTTTTGTTTGATGGTATCAAGTTTGAGGATATAGGCAACCACTTTGAAGACAATAAGATTTTCTATGATGGCCATTATGGTTTCACTATTATCTACTTTTGAAGTCCTGTAAGGTCTCCATTGTAGGTTTTGTTGGTCTTGTTCTGTACTGTTTTGCTCAATTTTATTATACCTGATGATATACACAACTCTTTATAAGATACCAAGAGGCATACTGGTAACCATTGTTGATCACCTGGTATTGTTTTTGCATCATGTACTAAGTCCATCATTCTGTTCTAACTAACTCTGTTTCATTTTGTCACATTTGTTCTTTTTTTTTCGCTTCAAAAAATATTTGTAAGATCTGTTGGAGTAATAAAACTGAAAAAGTGTAATTGTTGTTGTAAAAAAGAGAAGAAAAGAAAGTGATCTACAGGATATAACTGCATGTATATTTAAGTGTGTAGGATAGGAAACATTATTACTGAGTTTTTGTTGAACCATTGAAGAGAACTGTCTGCAGTCTCACTGTATGAATTTCCACTTTGTATGCTTTAATATTGTAACTTGGACAACTGTTTCTAAGAAGAAAATATGTAACCTATTAAGTAGTGAGTTCTTACTGCATATATATGTCTAGAAATTCTGTATTACTTGTACAGTTTACTGCTTTGTTTTGTTTTGTCTTCTCTTTTAATAAAATAATAATAATAATTTTCAATAGAATCTGATATACACATTACTGAATAGGTGAAATCTCTGAGGAAAGAGTTAGGTTTGAATGATGTAAACTTTAAAGTCAGTTCCTCAGGCATATTATCACTGCTCAACCGTCATCTGGCTGCTGACTTGCAGAAGAGGTTGTGGCTGTAGGACAACAATTATATATTTTACACTACAGGCCATGTACAAAGAAATACAACATACAATTTAAAAGACTTTAAGGCTATAAATGAATCTGAGAATGCTGTGAATCACAAGGGAAAGAAATACTGATTTTTCCGACCTTGCACACTTCTCTTCTTCTTACTAATGGAGTACATTTTGAGAGATGTATTGAGAAGTCATTCCAATCTTGTGCAAACCTCAGAGTGTGCTTACACAACAAAGATGATTCTGGTGCACCATGTGGTCATTATGGGGCTGCTGTTGAATATGTGATCCTCACTGACCAAAGCATCACTGGGCAAAGTAAAAGATCCCAGTGTTTCTAGTAGAAGATGAAATGACTTACACGCCAGGGGAAATTATTTTAAGGAACATGTGAACATAAGGTGAACTTTGCTGTCTTAAGAATACTTAAAGCTTTCTTCAGTTCATACTTGCATTGCATCATTTCTCCTTTCAGGAAGAGAAGCTTCCAGAGGACTACTTTCAGCATGATCCTGAACATGAATGTATATACAGATTTGTTGCTATTATTTTTAATGCCCTATGCATACCAACTGAATGCACAATAATGACTTTGGTAAGATGTTTCTTCTTTATCAAACATGCATAGAAAATGGTCTTGTACACATAAAAGTCACTTTTTTCAAGTTAGATTCCTTAAATTATCATGAGAACTTTACTAAGACCAGCCTTTGTTACATTTCTTTCATTGCTGAGACAAAATAAAGGGCACCCAAAGTAAAAAGGGGAAAAGTTCATTTAGCTCACAATTTGTAGTGATGTAGTCCATAATGTACTGGCTCCAAAGTTCAGTGGAATATAGCATAAAGCAACAGCCCATGTCAGTGGAAGAAAGCAAAAGTAATAAGAGAAATAGGGAGAGACAAGCTTCTTTCTGTTTCTTACATTTCATAGAGTCGGCTGGAGTTAGGGCAGTGCCAATCCAACCAATAATCTGACGCAGCAATCACACACCCTTAATCCCAGCATTCCATAATCTAGATTCACCCTTCTCTAAAAAGGTCCTCTGAATGCACATGGCTTTGGGTGGACATCTAGACACAACCATAAAAAAGCCTATCAAAAGAAAGTAAATGTATTTGGGTTCCCTAGGCATTATCATTTAAAATGGTGTCTTTAATTTTCTCATCACAAAACAACTGCAATTAAAGGAAGCTGAAGAGTTTTCCACACACACATCAGTACACACACAGTTGACACTGTGAACACTTACACATGCTGCCAGGTGGGAAGGAGAGCATTAACAGGACCATAGGAGACACAGACACTGATTTTAGGCTGATCAAAACAGGACCCAGGCTGTGTTTCAGGCAATTCACTGCCTTCAGTTCTCTAGTCTTTGGGGTATGGGTATCAACACATCCCTGTTGACAGCTTGTGGCTATTCATGAAGTTGCCCAGGGTGACAGTGCCAGTAGTTCTTTAAAAAGTTTTGTTATCATGATACACTGTAGCTGTGTCCTCATATTTGTGTTATCCACACAGAAGTTGGAAGGTGGGATTTTATCATCGACAATAATGGTGAAATGCTTGAGATTGTTCTAGTCCTTCCTCTACCAAATGCAGAGTGGAAAGTCATATACATAGCCTGAAGACAAAAAACACTTAAGACAGTAGTTGCTCTGATGGCATTTAGTCAAGAGCTTGGAGAGGAAGCTCATGCCCTGTGTTGAAACAGAAACCCGTCAGGGACATTTCCATTTGTAGAGATAGATAGCACAGCAAGCAGAAATGGGTTGGAGGTGGAAGTGTCCATGGAAACAAGGTAAGCTTGATGCTCCTTGAAATAACTGGGGCATATCTTCATATCTTTTGGATGTATGGGTACAGGCACAGAAATGTGACTAAGAAGTAAAGAAAGGTGGCTGTTCAAATATACAGAATGAATTCATTGAAAAGTGGGCAGGAGTCCTTAGCAGTTAAAGGAAAAGTTTCCAAAGGAGTAGCCAGAGCAATGGGAGAAAGGGGAAAAGAGAAATCAAGGCGAGAGATGGTGTGGTCAGAGTCATAAATGAGGCTAAGAAGTTGCACTGACACTCACAGATACTCACTGATACTTAAGCTGGGGAAGAACAAAGAGATAGAGCAAAGTTCTTGCTGTTTATGAGCTCATGATCTAGTGAAAAAGTCATGGGATATTTTTCAGGTATATAAATATCTCATATTGCAGTAAATGTCAAGAAGACAGAGCATTATAGGAGGCTGAAGAGTGATTTCAGAGCTTTCAGTTTCAGGCAGAGTGACCAGGAAGAGCTTGCTTGAAGTACAATCTGACTGGAGCAGGGAAGGCAAGGTGCTCATGCATTACATTCAAGAGGGTAAGATGCAGGCCCCCAGGTCAGGAACATGTTTCATGTGCTCAAGCAAGAACAGGGTGACTAGCATGCTGTGGGTAAGGATCACTCTCTCAGCGTCACACATCATTTGCAAAGCATGGGAGGTTGATTGGTATCATTTGGTAGATCTTGATCTACCAGTGAATTGCTCCTTACATATCAGGGTTTTCCAGACTGTCTTGGAACGTAAACTGCAGGTGGGGCTTGGATTAGAGGCAGAGATGGAGGGTTAGGAAGCAACGTGGTGATGCAGATGACCACAGACAAATGGAAGCTCAGGACAGAAAGCTTTCAGGTTACCAATGGAAGTAGAGATAACAGAAAGTATGCATAGATTGGTGTGGAATATGTCAAAGTATAAATTTTGTTCATAGTACTAGACAAGTAGCAGTTCTGCTTACATATTAGGAGGGTTGGAGAGTGGAGTGTTAGAATGCATAACTGGTGTGTAAGTTTGCATGCCACAATCAGATTGGCAAGACTGTTCCTGAAGAGTGCAGTGATACAGGAAAAATGGTTAAAGGAAAGAAGGGGAAATGATGGATATGCATAGGCATAATACAGTGATCCAGGTAAAAGGTAGCAGTCCTAGTGTTTCAGCAGGGGAGATGAGAGCAATGTAAACCACCTGTGGGGCGGGGGCAACATTTGATGTAGAATGTCTTCAGAAAGAGGTAATTAGTGTCCAGCAGAAGTGGGGTGGGGCACCAACACTGATGGAAGTGTTTGCCTTGTTTGAAAGTAAAAAACAGTGGTCCACTCACATAACAGGCAAGTGGTACAAATGAATACTAACCCAAAACAAAGCCATGGAAATGATGAACAGGGATTTATGATGACCAGCATTGTTTCATTATCACACATCATTTATATACAGAAGAGTTGAATCCTAGAACACAGTATCATATGTAGAATAGCTAAGGGAGCAGGTATTGGAGAATGAATACAGTTAAGGTTTAAGAATATTGCCTGATATGGACTGCTAGCCTGACAGCTTACAGATTGTAACTATGCTCTTAAAAGTGAGCCCTTTTCTTTTTAGTCATGATAGAAAGAGTTAAAATAGCATATCCAGTCCATGAGCTCTGCTTCTAAAATTTCACCATTTGGGGAAATATTACGGCCTTCTTTTCCCTTGTCCTTAATGCTTACATGTCTAGTGTATCTACCTTTACTTGGAATTTACCTTGAATTTTTTAATGTAATACCCTAGAAATGATTTCAAGTACACAAGGATGTGCATAGGCACATGTACAAATATTAAGCTTTTTATCTAGGAGACTTGAGCATCAGGAAACTTTTGAATTGATCAGATTTAAGTAATAGCAAACAGCTTCCTCTGTAATCCTTACTCAGCAATTTGCTCACCTAGTTCTTTGTAGAACAGATGTTTGATATATGTAAACAGTGCCTGAGGTCAGGTCATGAACTGCCTGGAACTTTAGGGGTCACAGCATTACAGGCTAGCAGCTGTTCTTCTCATCATAAACCCAAAGAATTGAATATGTTGTTAATTATTTAGGAAGGAAAATGGATATTCATGAATAGTGGTAATATGAAAAAGGGCTCTAAGAAGGACCATCTTGTTTTACATGTGGCTTCATTATAAAGGTACTGCATTTCAGAAAAACTTCATAGTTGTAAATCTTGCACCTCTCAGGCTGTTCTGCTCATCAGCCATGGGAAGGTGCTTATGTCTACCAGTTATTGCCACAAAAGGCTTAATACAATGAAAAGATGAAATGTGCTCACTGTGAGTTAGGTATCACAGCTGACTATAATGTGTCTAAAACTATTTTGTATCTACCACCTGTATGTTATATTGCATGTTGGTGGCACTTGGTATTTACAGAACAAACTTACACCTGTGCCCATCACAAATGTGGAGGTGATAGCAATACTACCTGCTGGATGACTTTTGTTGCAATGTCCAGGCATTCCAATCAGCAAAACTGGGTAGGAAATTTACATGAGCAGCAGACGTGTCTGATTTACAGCTGTGACCTCACATCTTGCTTTAGCTGAGCACAATCTCTCAGTCCCACTTCCCTTTCTCATCACAGAATAAACATCATATACAACAGTTCTTAGAAAAGCAATTAAACAGAGCTAAACTGAAAAACCAGTGCTCTACTCTACTCTTTGCAGGTTTACTTAGAAAGGTTAATGTCATATGCTAAGATTGACCTCTGTCCTACCAACTGGAAAAGGATTGTCTTGGGAGCCATTCTTCTTGCCTTCAAGGTTTGGCATGATAAGGCTGTGTGGAACATATACTTCTGCCGGATCCTCCAGAATCTTGCACTCCAAGACATGTGAGTTTAAAAGGTTTTGGTGACTTTTCTATCCATGTTCCAGTTCACTTGTTCCCTTAAGGCATGAATTTTAAGAAATATTTTACATATTACATTATATAGAAAATAAAAATGAGCTTAAAACTATTATACCCTGTCAATCTACAGTATAGAAATTCATATTTTCCATCATTAATTTGTTTTAATGGATTATTATTGTAATGGTATGCTTCATAAGACGTAATTTTTTCTGGAGGTTGCAGACAAGTATTTTATAACCTTACCAGCATTACAACATATTACTGGGTTTATCTTCACGGCTTTTTAACAGCTTTCAGCGCCGTTCCCTTCTTTAAGGGCTACCATGTCTGACTTTTGCAATAAATGTTTGATCACTGTTATATCCTTGGGGCTATAGGTTTAGTCTAAGTCACAAGTTGTACCTTTGCTTTAGCTGGTCTCTACAACAGAATTTATTCTAGACTCCTGTGCCTGCCTACCCCTTATTAGGAGTGTTGTATGTGGGTAGAAATCAGTCTGATGGGGTCTGATTTTATGTGTATAGAAGGCACAAAGGCAGCTGCATAGACACATAGCACAGGGCTTTTCCCAGTCATTTCTCTTTCCACTGCACCAAACTCACCCGTGTGTGTGCACGTGCATGTGCATGTGCTTGTGCATATGTGTGTATGCCCACACATGTACATTCTCTTCTGGTGAGGGGCAGCAGATACTGATCAACTTCGATTTCCCCAGCACAGAAACATGAGTGTGAGGGCTCTGACAAAGTTCTTGTCCTAAAAGGGATTTAGTCCACCTAAGACTCCAGTCTTTGACATTTCCATCCTCTAAAGTTTAAAATGGGTATCATGTCATGGTCACAATTTGTTACCCCAGTAATAAGAAGCCTTTCATCATAGTCTCATATGCTGAGACAGGGAAAAGGATTGCCTTTCTCATATAGTGTAAATTTTTTTCCCTTCCTTGCAAATTTAGGATGAACGCTTGCTTGAAGAGTTTGCCCACTCAGAGAGCAGAATGGTGCATCTTTCCCTGGTGCCCCTCTACTTCCCCGTCAAGATGTCTGCAAGCTTTTGAGAGCTAACCTTGGCATACATTTACTTTTTTCTCTGCTCACTGTAGTGATGAATGTGTGTGAAGCATGAGTCACACCGATGCACTGCTGGACGTTGAAGAAAGAATCATGAGCCAGCAATAGGCAGTAATGAATAGGCTATAACTATTCTTGTCCACCCAAATGCCAAAGTGCTGGGATACAGAAACAACTCAAAACACCCTGTTGGAACATGAGTAGTTTTTCTTCCCAGTTAAGCAACCTCCCTATATCTCAGAATTTACACCAGTCAGTATTAAGAACTGTGGGAGTAATAAAACCCAGAATGTGTAATTGTAATTGTAAAAAAGGGAGGGGAAGAAAGGGTTCTAAAGGATACAACTGAAAGTGTGTTTAGGTGTGTAAGACAAAGTTTTTGTTGGATCACTGTTTTGTTGGACAACTGTTTGCAGTCTCACTGTTTGAATGTCCACTTTGTATGCTTTAATTTTGAAACTTGAACAACTATTTCTAATATGACATTATGTAATCTATTAACTAGTGAGTTCTTACTGTTTTTTTGAAATTCTGTATTACTTGTACCCTTTTACTATTTTTTTTTCTTTAAATAAAAATTTTTAATAGAATTTACAGCAGTCCTTAGAAGCTCAAAATGACATTTTCGAAGAGAGTCTACTCGATCAAAATTGTCTGATGTTCATTTTTCTGTGTTCTTCCTCCACAGAAATCAACTGGAAAGGCATTACTTGTGTCTGCTTGAGTTTAATGTTAATGTGTCTGCCAGCACTTATGCCAAATACTACTTTGATCTTCGCTCTTTAGCAGATCACAGCAACATGTATTTTGTGTCTGCACCTCTCACCAAAGAAAGAGCACGGAAAATAGAAGTAAGGCTGTGCCTTCACTAAATAGGGTGTTCTGTGAGCCACTAATACCAGCATCTGTGGCTATATCATATAAAGTACTTAAGGAAAATGGCAAGTTTTGAAATTAACACTTTCAAGAGTTTACTAAACTTTTAGTGTGTGTCATATATTTTAGTTCTTAATGGTTCAGATAAAGATCCACATTATTACTTAAAAGCTGTTCTGTTTTCTTTGATCATAATTCAGAATGTTTTAATCAGCATTATTCTGATCAAAATGCTTTTCCTTTTAACCACTACCTTTCTCCATAGCCACACATGATTAACTACCTGGCCTTGTTTTCTTTATCATGTATACAAATACTGTTCACTTAATTACTTGTGCTTATTTTTTACTCAATTTTAAAATTCGTATCAGAATTCAGCTGTCCTACTTCAAGACCAAGGATTCAGTAGACAGATTCTTAGTGGCTAACATGAGAGCCCTACATGTAAGATATGTGATGTGCATGTGGAAATTTGAAGTACATGAGTTTTAAAGAGAAGTGGCAGCTTACATAGGCAAAATAATGCAGATGGTTTGTGACTTTTGGTGATCCTCCACAAAAACAATTGATACCTGAAAAGGATGCATACATTCAAATGGTACTTTCTGTAGTGCGTTGGTGGCATAGTAAGTCCCCAACTTACAAATATTTAAGTTGCAGTTTTTTGCAGATTATGAAGATTATTTCACTGGCGATTGCCTTTTCAGTGCTTTACATTGTATATTTGTGTCCAATGACTATAAGATTCATTTTGTTGGACTCACAAATAATTCTGACTCAGAAATGTTCTCCCAGAACAGAACTCATTCTTAAACTGAAGAAATCCATTTTGGAATATGTATTTTGCTCCTACAACTCATGTGAATTTGAAGAAGCATCCTTTGGTGCTACAGAACTCTCCTGCTCTACATTAAATTCATACCACCTTCCAAGGAAACCTTAGAGTTTGGAGACTAATAATGGTCAGATAGCATTGGAATAGCTGGGTCAGAATTTACTCAGTGCTTTTGCACATATGTAGCTTTATCATTTTTAATATAGTTACACGATAAAAAATGCTGTGCGTAGCTTATCCTATCACCAAATTTTGTCGCCTTTGGAAACTCCATTTGTAAAGACTGTAACTGAACAAACTTCCCCTTACTTGGTAATTGAATCATCATTAAAGAATTTTAGTGAATTGGCAGGCTGTAGCAGCCTCTTAACCTGGCAGTGCAGGTCTCAAACACCCAAAGCATCAGTGACCATGAAGTAGATAAAGTAAGTTTGTATGACTAAACTGTGATTAGATTATTTTTTCTTTAAGGTTTCTGTCTTTTAAAAATTTTTACCTGTATTCCTTTGGATGAACTTTCCTAGGCGATGTCAAGACACTGTGAGGATGGAGGCTTGCACAGAGGTGAAATCAGAAAATCTTCCAGTGATGACAGCTTCACTGGAATTCGACTGTCTAAAGCCATCCTGTCTTAAAAGAGAGAGATGAGGGCTATGACATCTTAGACCCTCGCTTACACAAGATGGACCACCTGTCTTGCAAAAAAAAAAAAAAAAATCCAAAGAGAACATTTTTGCCAAAAGGAAAGACCTTGAATTTCAGAAACTTTTGGACAGTGACAGTTGTATTGCATGGGAAGAGACCTTGTGAAAGCAGCAACACACTTCCTTTCTTCATTGATGTGAGCAGAGTTACTAGTAGTACAAAGCAGAAGCTCCTGGCTGACACAACCATTAGCTTACTTCACAGGCCAATGCCTGTGAACTGTGCAAGGTTTTTGGATTAAGAGTATACATTTAAGCTAGTTTAAAACTTTAATAAATGTTTAAGGTAGATTTTTTAAATACTATCTGTATACTTTTCATGTCCCCTGCCACTATATAGCTTTGTAGACTTTTAGGATTATCATAGTATTACTGTTAAAAAATGGGGAATCTTTTGTATTACATGGTGCTGAGAGAAAAATCCACATTCCTACCCATGTCTCATGCAGTATGTCTATTACTGAGCCATTCACCCAGTCCCAAAATGGGAGTATTCACACTCATGAAATCATTTAGGACTACACTGCCACATCATCAGTATTGGAGGTTCTTCCTTCCTGTGGTATTACTGAGTTCCTAGGCAGTCATGTCAGCAATTTTACACAAAAAATCAGCTGGATAGCACTTGCCACTCAGGTTCATTACAAGCACTATTTAGCAGCCTCATGACATGCCGTGTCTGTGGTCATAAAGAAAAATCATCTGCTATTGGCTATCTACTTTTATCGGGTTCATACAGAATCTTATGAGTTAAAAATGGTGCTGATAATTTTTGATGATTTCCCTTTGTTAAATAAACATGTCAGAAGATATTTCTATAATGTGAACCAATATGATGGTTCAATAATCACTACAGATAGTAAAGTACAAGGTGTCCCAAAACTTTCAGAGTAGTTTTAAGCATTTGGCTACTATGTTTGTGCCTTTAAGGGCACTCGAGCAGGTAGAAAAGCTGCAAACTTACAAATCATTATTCCTATATTTCAGTTCAGTGGGTTTAGAATATTATTCATTTATTCTAAACTTTTTCTAGTCTCTTAAAAAATGATAGAAAGCAGAACTGCAACAAAAGTTAAAAGCTTAATTTTCACATTTCCCAAGTTAATACTTCCAGATAATATATGATAATGTTTTAACTTCTGTATTTATACATAGTACCAAAGCTTAAAATGACACTAAGATTTTTGGGATGTTTTATATTGCAAAGAGTTTCCCTCTTGTTTTTGAGGAGTTCTTTAAGAGCCGTGCACTATCTCTATTTTGAGTACCTAAATTTCTTGGTTCTTGATTTGGTGAAGGAGGGTATTAAGAGCAATATTAATTGGCATGTTTTATAAAGAAATTGGACCCCAACAGCAGCACTTGATATAAAAGTTTATTTTGAAACCTATCCTACATGTTACCTTGGCAGTAGGTACCCCCATTGGGAGCCCGATTATTTAAGAAAGAAATTACACAAAACTTAGGAACATAATATAGGTTTTATTTATTTATTTATTTATTTTTGTTGTTGTTGTTTTCCTTTTTATTGGTACCGGGGATTGAACTCACGACTGCCTCCTTGCAAGGCAGGCGCTTATGCCGCTGAGCTAAATCTGCAGCCCCTATAATATAGGTTTTAAAGAACAGAAATTAAGTAATTTTAGACAACTTAGAACAATGTTACCTCAGTATTAAAAATTAGTGTTTTGGGGCTGGGGATTTAGCTCAGCTGCATAAGAACCTGCCTTGCAAGCAGGCAGTCGTGAGTTTGATACCCGGTATCAACTAAAAGAGAAAAGTTAGTGTTTTGCCTCATGAAATACATTTCTTTCCTTCTCAAATACAACAACCTACCAACTCGAAAGAAAATTATTTACAGAATTTCAAACTTAAAGATTTGAATGTTACTTGCAGATGTTTTGTGAGGGAATCCTAAAATTTATATTTATTTTTCATTTCCATGTCTATGTTTTTAAAAAGTAATAAACTACTTTGATTACAACACAGCTGTTACGTTCGTTGTTACTTCTCTGTTCACATAACAGTATAGTTCTCCAGCATGTAAAGGTTTTGTGTCATTCTTGTTGGGTTTGAAAGCATTCTCGAAGAAACTTTAAAATTGACGTGATCCAGGCCACTGGATACTTAATTAATGTATTTCACTCATTCATCTGAGCATAACGCAGATAGATAGTGTATCTCAGAGATGAAAGCACATAAGAAGATACTTGGGAAACCACTGATTAAAATCCGTATTAGTTGAGGGCCGGGTGTTTAGCTCAGCAGTGTAAGTGCCTGCTTGGCAAAGGCAAAGTCTTGAGTTTAATCCCCGGTACCAAAAAAAATTTTAATTTAATTTATAAAAACTAAGTATATTATTTGGAATGAAATGGAACAATAGGATTTGTCTATTAAAAGAAAGATTTTTAAAATTCTGCAATGGTGGTGCACTCCTGTCATCCCAGAACTCAGGAGATTGGATTAGTTGGATTGTTGCAAGTTTCAGACCACTTGGGCTACAAAGTGCACTCAAGACCAGCCTGAAGTAAGCAGCAAGACCTTGTCTCAAAAAGACAAAAAAAAATTAAGTAGAAGATTTAATTAATTAATTCTTCCCAACTTGCAACTCAGTTTTTAAAAGCACAAAGACAGAGAACCACACCACACCATCATGGAGCACAGCTTCTGCACCATGCTTAACACCCAACATTCCCCAAAGGACATCTGGGATGCTAGGAACAACTGGGAAGCCCCAGGATGACCTAGGCCCCTGCTGGGCCCACCCTTCTACAAGAACACTGGGATGCCCAGGCAGACCTGGGTAACCTAGGACTGCCACCATTGGGCCCATCCCTCATTGAGAACACCTGGGACACCCTAGAAACTGATCCACCTCATAGCACCACCAAGAAACACCAGGGACACCCCAGCACTCCTGGGTTGCTTAGGAGTGGGCCCGCTGGGCCCGCCCCTTCACAGAACACCTGGGACACCAGTGGCATGACTGACCACCTAGAACTGCTGTGGTGGGCTGTTTTTTGGGGAATCCACCCACCATCTGGACCTAGTACTTCAGTTGATCTTTGGATTCAACCCCTTCTTCCAGAACCTTGGACTACAGTGAATTACAGTGCTGGCTAGATGGGAGACTAGGGAACCCCTCACCCAAATAGAAGAACTCAGCAGCTCTAGTCAGTGTGGTAATTTTGCCCCTAAAATACAGGTCTGCAGTGGGTAAATAGGAGCAGAAGTGAAACTCCTTCCAACCGGTAAAACCTTGATGAACCTGGCAAGAGTTCAAGGGTAATCCCCTCCTCCACACAGAGAACATCAGACAGGTTGAGGAGTGTGCCAATAAGGCCTCCCCAACTTGGAGAAAATTAAAAGAGTTTATGAGACCCCGGTGATGCATTAGGGCCTCAGCTAACACAAACACTATGGACAGGGAAAGCTGGTGACCTGCAACAACCTAAAGACATAGCAACAGCAAGAACTAAGAGTTGACCTACATCCATACCTTTATGTTAGTTAGCCCAGAAAGAATATAGGACTCACCCAACACACCATGTAGGAGGAATTCAGGTGACTTCCTCTCCTCTTCACTGTGATACCCAGAAACTGGTCAAACATCAACCACACAGCAGGACCCTAAAATTACCACTACCGACAGTTCAGACTGGACTGAAAGACCAAATATTTACCCAAAAGGTGAAAATGACAAAACGAAAAGGAAAAATGCAGTCTCAAACATCTAGTCCATCAGGAGCAAGTACAGGTGACATTGAAATAGAGGACTTTAAAAGTCACACACCAGGAATCTCTGAAAAGATAGCAAATGAAGTAAAGAAAAAAATCCATGAAGCTATGGAAGAAATCAAATTAGAAATAATGTCTTGTGTAAAGACAGAAATAACAGTCTTGGTAAATAAGTTGCTCATCATAGGTAAAGAAAAAATAGATTAAAAATACAGGAGCATGGGAAATTGATTGAAACTTTAAATGAACAATGCAAAAAACAAGTAAAATCTGTGAAACAAATTCAAAGAGATATCCAAGTAACAAAAAAATTCTATTGAAAGCTAACAAAACCGTTTAAATGAAGATGAGGATAGAATTTCAGACCTAGAAAACAGGATCACAAATAGTGATCATACAAAGGTAGAATGTATAAAAACAAAAAAGCAGCATGAAATGACAATCCAGCAGCTTCAACATGATGTCAAGAGAAACAATATAAAACTAATAGGCATCAGTAAAGATGCAGGGGTCAATATAAATGACAAAACTAAAATATTCACAGACGTAATGGCAGGAAATTTCCCACACAAAGGGAAAAAATATGATATCCAAATAAGTGAGGGATACAGAATGTCAAACAGTCACAACCAACATAAATCTATATCCAGACATAGGATAATTAAGATCCAAGATACACAGCATAAAAACAGAATACTAAAAGCTATCAGAGAAAAGACACAACTCACCTATCAAGGAAAATCTATTAGAATCAGGGCAGACTTTTCAGCACAAACCTTCAACTTAAGATGACCTTGGAGTTAAGTATTTCAAGCACTAAAAAAAAAACAACTTTCAACCCAGACTGATGTACTCAGAAAAACTGTCCTTCACACTTAGTGCTGAAACAAGATACTTCTGTGACAAAGAACAACTGATGAAATTGATGTCCACAAAACCAACCCTAGAAAGAGTACTGAAAGACATAGTAGATAGAGATTAAAATGACCAAAATCTCAAGAAGAACAACAGAAAGAAACCACCAGACTGGACAAGATGTGCAAATGGCAAATAAATACATGAAGAAATGTTCACCATCACTGGTCATTTGAGAAATGCAAATTAAAACAGCATTGAGATTTCATCTCACCCTGGAAAGAATGGCTGCCATCAAGAAAACAAATGATGCCAAATGTTGGCGAGGATGTGGGAAAAAAGGAACAATTCTCCACTATTGATGGGGGTGAAGTCTGGTGCAACCACTGTGGAAATCAGTATGGAGGTTCCTCAAAAAACTAGGATTGGAAGTTCCATTCAATCCAGCTATTCCCCTGCTGGGATTTTCCCAGATAAATTGAAAAGGTCATGTCATGGTGATATATGTGCACCCATGCTCACAGCAGCACAATCTGTGATACCTAAATCTTGGAAACAAACAAAATGCCCATCAACCACAGATTGGATGAAAAAGATGAGGTGTTTTCATACAATGGGATATTATTCAGCTATAAAAAAGGATGATCTTGAGGCCTTTATAGGTAAATGGAGGCAACTTGAGGCTACACTCATTAGTGAAGTAAACATGACTCACATTAGTAAATACCACATTGTCTCTCTAGTATAAAAAATAAGAACTGACAGAATAATAGGATCCAACAAGTATAATAAATATTGTAAAAGTGAAAGGGAAGGAAAGTGCTCTGAAGAATATAATGGCATGTATAGTGTGTAAGATAGATGAACATATTACAAAATATCTATTACATAAATATCTATTAGATCATTGAACAGAAGAGACTGCACTATCACTGTCTGAGTGCCTAGCCACTTTTTGTGCTTTGATTTTATAACTTTAACAACTATTGTTAAGATGACAATATGTAATGTATCAACTACTGATTTATGATGTTAATTTTTTAATTCTGTATTCTACTTTTTTCTCATTTTTTCTATTTTGTTTTTCTAAATTTCCTCTTGTTTCTTTAAATAAAATTTTTTAAAAAGACACTTGGTCTAAATTGAAAACAGCCTCTGGATCAATTACCATGCAAAACATTGGAGCTATGTCAAGCCTTCTCTTCATAGTGTAATATGAGTTATCCTTGATGATCCACACATTCATAAACATTGAAGACACAACTGGTTTGTGGTATCTGACTAGACCAGTATCTATATTTGGTTCTGCTGGTGCCACTGCCATTCACTCTTCCTTTGTCACTGCTGGAAATTTTAGCAAACTTGGGATATACTAGTGGCCTTTCCTTGTTGAGTACTTTCTTTCTGATGATTTGCAAAAAAATTTCAGATTCCTTATCCTATGAAAATTACTTTAATATTAAATGAAACAATGAATGGCTCCTCCACACAAACAGCTTTCATATCTTACAATTGTATCAAAGCAATCACAGTTGATTCTATTACAATATGTCTTAGTTACTTTTCTTGTTGCTGAGACAAAGTAACCAACACCCCAAATTAAAGGGGGAAAAGGCTTATTTAGTTCAATTTATACAGGTTTCAATCAGTAATTTCCTGGCTCCACAGAAGGATAGCACATGACACAGGGGCAACTGTTCATGTGTAGAAGACAAAAAATGAGAGAGAGACAGACAGACAGACCGACAGACAGACACAGGGACACAGAGACACAGAGACAGACAGAGTCAGAGAGAGAGAGAGACAGGACAAAATTCTTTCTGTGCCTTACAATGTGTGCAGGCCACCCATCTAGGGTAGGTGTAGCACTCATATCCTTAACCCCAGCTTTGGAACATGAATTAATAAACTCTGGATTCAGCCACCTCTGAAAAGCCTGCCCCACCATAACTGCAACTGTTAGATGAACATCTAATCACAAACCACAAGACCATGCTATTTTATCTTAAACCCACAAACCACTGTACCAATTATGAAGTTTTCATGTGTTTCTCATCGGCCATTCGCCCATCTATGAAAAGCTGAAAGGCTGCAGCTGTAGGGGAATGACGACTGTGTCCAACATTTCTTTTTTTTATTTTTCTCATGTATCTGCTTGCTGCCCTCTTTGAATGCTTGACTTTTTATGAACATGCTGGGTCAGAACTGCTTCACACACACTCTTCTAATAGGAAATTATATTATTTTTCCAATTATTCATTTGGTTGTGTTAGTGGCCATCACCCTGAAAGTATTAT